AACTGTGATATCAGATGATATAAACCTACTGTGATATACCAGAGAAACAAGATGACCTGTAAAACATACAAAATAACAAAATATAAAAATAGCATGTTTACATAATTCTATAGTATTTAAAATCTTCAATACACTTCACAACTTATTGAATATTATACATCTACATGTTATATGTTATTGTTGAGTCTAACCTTAATTCATAATACGTACTTTTCTGTCAAGTCAGTGCATCCTTGATAATAAACATCAACACAACACAGTATACTGAAGAGAAGGTTTCTTCTAATGGTGATTATAAACCAGCACCAAGACAGGCATTTGTGACACGATCAAGGCCAATGACTTTTAAGTTTTCAGTTCAATGTTGTAGAATTTATACACATATGCAAGGTAAATATCATAGTTTATATGATGTTTACAATAGTTTTTATCTCTTAGTGTGGCAGAAATTCTAAATGAAATATTTTCATTTATACTAAAAGGATAAATTAAGAAACAACAGTTTTTATGGATATAGACTTCTATTTATTATTGAACACAACGTTTCATTACACATACAGGTAACGTTATCAAGTGAGTGATCAATCACTTCATTATTGCTGTGATACTTCTAAATATCTTATAAGGATTATAAGGATATATATATATATACTATTCTCATGTTTGATACTATTTTACTTACTATATGAAGAAACTACCAATCGTGATGGCTCGGGTCGACATTATTTCCTAATCTGTTCGATAGACAAAACTTTAAACTGGATGTTATGAAATCAATCTACAAAATGAACAAGATTACCAAGTCTTTTCGGAAAATAATAAGGGAAATAACTGCATTTTTAATATGGAATCTACATCACTTACATTTATAACTATATTCCGGTCTCAAACTTTGATTTATTGATAGAATAATGGAGATAAGATGGTGAAAGAGGCAAGTTGGGTTTGGGAATCGTTTAATGGTTATCTTGGTTTATATTGCTGTACAAATAAAAATCCTTACAAGCAAGGAAACTACGTTAATCAGAATCTTGTCCAAAGCACTAAAATATTATAGTAGTGGACTCCTCCAAAAAGAACTATCATCAGGTGTTTCGAAAAGAGTAAGCATGGTCTGCTTCGCGCGCGACACCCGCCACTCAATATCATGCGATGCAGTCAGCCAAGATGCAAGAAACAGATTTGTAATATTTGTCCAGAAGTTCGCTATTATGACCATAAAATTTCCTACAGCACTGTCAATGTGCACGACAACATTACTATAAACAAGTTCTACCAGCGGAAAGTTCAGCCAAGGGTCAAGTCAGGGCAAATGTCGAGCTAAAAGGGATTAAGATTATCGATAATCATCATTATCCTCAGTGAATTCGTTAATCTCGACTTAAACCATTGGTTATTATTAAACTCAATCTTGGATTGTGAGTGTAACATTTGTTTTGAATTGAGAAAGATATTAACTACTATAACAAGTTAGAGGGATTTGAATAGCAACGTACAAATGAAATTGGAAAGGACAAACAATGTTCAGTAACATCGCACTGTAGTGTCAGCGACTTGTATTTTTGAGTTTTACTGTGCCCTGTGTTTATCAAAAATATCTTATACGATAACATCTGTTACCTTAATCTTGTTGCACTCCGTTGGTAATAATAATGGAACAGTCAAAGTCTTTAAAAATCTGCTTATTTTTATTGGTGACAGTTTTCAGTGTAGTGATAGGATTTTATATGATTTTAGCCATGTCGGACTGAGAGAGCAGGAAACGAACCTAAACCAAACTCGAACTAGTTTAGTTGTGTTTCCAATGTTTAGCTGTTCTTCGTTTTCAGATTCTATTTTACGACAGAAATTTTTTTTAATTCACATGTCAGAATTTTGTAACGATATATTTCAATGAACAAATACAACTAAAAGACAATAGACTTGAATGTGGTTCTGTTTTGGAAAGAACCAAAAATGATAATATCTTCAACAGCTATCGTTTTAATTGTGGTTGGTGCCATCGTGTTTAGTGTGGGGGTGGGTATCTTTATCTGTTATTATCAGATGCAGCTAGAGGAAAGGAGTAAAGGAAAGAGGAAGTTATCTAGTATTCGGCGTCGTGGTGTACCGGCTCGTAGATTTAGACAATCCTTGGCAGAATTGGGTCAAATCGCGCGACTGGGAAGTGTGAAAACTAAACCGAGTAATGATATATCTGATGGTCGGCGGTTGAGTGCTAGCGATGTTCAGATATCGTATGATATGTTTAGAGCAGGTAACTTTCCAAAAGGAACTTTATCACCTCCGCGATCTCATCTGAAACCTCTAAAACCTATCCGACATGTTCCTAAGGATGTTCGTGATTCGCCAATACTAGAAGAATTAGAGGATGAGGGAAAGCCCAGCACGTGTCCAGTGGAACGGAACCAAACCGACATTATTGACGAGGTGGAAACTGATAACAGAATCACTTCTATTGAAGACGATAACAACAATGGCAGAGAATATTGATGTATGAAATAAACAATAACAAAAAAACTCAGTTGTAAAAGCGTCTGCTACAGTTTCAACAAGTGCTCATATTTTATTTTTATTTCTTATGCCTGATTTCAATTATCCTCTCTTCCTAATCAGTTTTCTTAATAGTCTTCCTTGAACTCAGTTCCGTCAGTATTGTTGTTATCGACTGAACTTGTTGTGTCATATCAAATAAATAAAAATAAAAACACAGCTTATTTCACCAAAAATGAGGCCACTCCCCCTTTTAAGTTAGCTTTTAATATACTTGTAAAGATTAAAGGAACTTGGTGTAAGAATATTGATAAAGAAAGGGAAGATTACTGACAATCCGGGTTGAAAAAACAAGAGACAGATTGAACTGACTAGGGACAACCGTAACAGTAATTTTGGTAATGAAACTCATGTGTGGAGATAAAAGCACTTAATTATCTGTATGCATGGCCAAATTGGACAAAGGAGATCTTTAAAATCAGAATTTGGCTCATTATTGGTAGTGTCAAATTGGTAGTTATAATTTGAGTTGAAACACTCCCTTTTCAATGGATGGGTTTTTATAAAACAGTTTGTCAAGTCACCGATTGAGATAACACAAATGCTAATGGGGGCGTATATTGTCGTCACCCATGTCCGTCCGTGCGTCGGTCTTTGTCAAATTCTCAAAAACTAGCGACCCAAAAATGGAACGGTGACAATCTCATAAAATGACATTTTATGTCTGGCCCAAAACTTGCCGATATAACATCTGGGGTATTGCGTCATGGGATAGGGTGGGGCCAAATTAGACTATTTCGGGACAAGTCTAAAAACAGTAATGAGCTGTTCACTTTATTTATTGGTAGAATATTATTGGAGAAGAGTGATATTAGCTGTATTTTTAGGTTGTTGTCGCTTAGAAAGTGGTTTTTATTGCTAAGAAAATGGTTCCGGCAAGGTGCTTTCGGTGTGCTCATTGCCATAACAGTGGTTGTGTACGTAATAGCTTTAGGTTGATGTTACATTGGTGCATGTTTTTAATGAATGTTCGTAACCTCGACCTGGTTCTGTCTGTTCATTCAAAGCGAAATAACACACGATGGCAAGATGGTAGACAGCTACACAAGATTTGTCTGCTAGACATTGTTGTTCACACGCATCCAAACTTTTCACCCCTTTAAACGTTCCATAACCATAACCCCTTGTATTCTCAGAGCGTTTAAAAGTACATTTTTCTAAAATAAAAGAAAACAAGTAGGCAATATATGAATATTAAGGAATAGTAATGTACAATAATGACCATAAAGATATGATCTTAAAATCGGTTTCTTTGATCTTCTGACAGCCTCCAACAATCTGACAGGTCATTTTGATACTTGCTATTCGTCACTGGAAAAATAAGTGTTCATAACTCTCGCTGTAATAGAAGGTAGGAGAAGAACATTCCAACCTTTTAATGCAGTCGGCCTTATGAACACTTATTTTTTTAATTTGCGAATGTCAATGAGTTTTCAGACTGTCGGAGTAGTCGGAGGCTGTCGATGGATTAAAGATACCTCCTAAAATCACGACTAAATTAGTAAATTACCACAACTATTTAATTGTGACCAGCTTTGTTCCATTGAATTTCTGACTAGGTTCAATTTATCTTGTGACAATTTATCCCAATTAAAATCCTAGATTTTCATCAGACTGTAAAGATGCTTACCTGTACAGAACTCTCCTTGAAGCCCATTTTTACATTGACATTTTCCGTCAATACATTTCTCGTTACAATTACAGTCTACCGTGGCACAAGGATCAGCTGAAATAAAAAAAATACACTAGATTAGTTAAATATACGTCACAAGTCAAAAAATTGATTGTACATTTAGCTTATTCAACTAATTACTGACGGTGTGATTCAGTCTTGTCTTGGCAGTCGAATTCAAATTAGACCAAACATTAGTTCCGTTTTTTATTTCTAATAAAGCCACTTCAGTTAAAGGCGGACCTCTATCCCTGGGATTTCGTGACGAGAACAAAATGTGTATAACCAGAAGCATAAGACTAGTTTATCACGTCCACTGAAATTGAAATTAGAACACGCATTTTTTTATGTTCCGAATTAAGTTAAATTAAACTTATTGGCCCAAACTGAAGTGACTACATTGCAAATAAAGGCTAATAAAAAAAATGGAACAAAAATTTGGTTTAATTCTATTATTGGTTGTTGTTGGGTCGACAAAATCCAACAATTGATCAGATTTTGTCAGATGTCTCTAGTTGCTAACAAGTGATCAGATTCTGTCAGATGTCTCTAGTTGCTAACAATTAATCAGATTCTATCAGATGTCTCTAGTTGCTAACAATGGATCAGATTCTGTCAGATGTCTCTAGTTGCTAACAATTGATCAGATTCTGTCAGATGTCTCTAGTTGCTAACAATGGATCAGATTCTGTCAGATGTCTCTAGTTGCTAACAATAGATCAGATTCTATCAGATGTCTCTAGTTGCTAACAATTGATCAGATTCTATCAGATGTCTCTAGTTGCTAACAATAGATCAGATTCTGTCAGATGTCTCTAGTTGCTAACAATTGATCAGATTCTGTCAGATGTCTCTAGTTGCTAACAATAGATCAGATTCTATCAGATGTCTCTAGTTGCTAACAATTAATCAGATTCTATCAGATGTCTCTAGTTGCTAACAATAGATCAGATTCTGTCAGATGTCTCTAGTTGCTAACAATGGATCAGATTCTATCAGATGTCTCTAGTTGCTAACAATTGATCAGATTCTATCAGATGTCTCTAGTTGCTAACAATAGATCAGATTCTGTCAGATGTCTCTAGTTACTAACAATTGATCAGATTCTGTCAGATGTCTCTAGTTGCTAACAATAGATCAGATTCTATCAGATGTCTCTAGTTGCTAACAATTAATCAGATTCTATCAGATGTCTCTAGTTGCTAACAATAGATCAGATTCTGTCAGATGTCTCTAGTTGCTAACAATGGATCAGATTCTGTCTCTAGTCGCTTTCAGAATATGTCAGTAACAAAGTTGATTTCAGACAACATTTTTATTCATATCTCGAAGTGTATTATCATTAAGATATACTTACGTTTTGGGCAGATGTAGCGGGTAACGATTTGTCTCACTGCAGGTGAATTCAAACATGTGTCGATAGTGCTCTGGTCAATATTGTTTGTACTTTCGCACCCCACATCACTCACAACAAGAATGACCAACACGGCAACAGGATAGTGTAAATACATGTTTTATTCACGATTAAAGTTTCTGTGATTTGCACTATAATCAGAAAATTTAAATAAATATGATATACAAACCACTCTAGTTACGTTGACTCCCAAATTGTTGCTCAATCGATGTCTAATTGGTAAACCCAATCGTAATATGGCGCTGAAGGGTTGATATTCCCGGCAAGGCCGTTTTCAAAATGCGAATGGAAAATATTATGACACCCCCCACCCCCCCACTTTCATTTTTTCATAAATTAATATTAGAGTTATTGGAAACTGTTCTGAAGTTTATGAATGCATTTTGTATGTCTCTTTCTACACAACAGATGACTGACACTGTAATCGGTATGAGCGTAGTCAGGTAGGTCTTGATGAAGTAAATTGTTCAGCAGCCTATTGATTATTACAAACATTTCTACTTACGTTTTAGTTCGTGTTACTTTCTGATATGTTGTCTCTATTTCCACATGCTTTATATTGCTATTTCGTAATGTTCGCTCGTAAAAGGCTTTATTGCCAACCCATTCAAAATGTTAACGTTTGACACCTGCATTTCACTTGACACAAGTGAGTGAGTGGTCCGAGAACTTCTAACCGCTGTGCGACTTGCCACTAAATCATCTGTCAAGGCCAGAGTGAAGAGAAAGACTGTTCGAACTATCGCTTCGGATGATGAAATAATTTTTGTGGTAGAAATATAAAAACTTTGAGTGTTAAAATTAGATCAGTGCTTTTAAACAGGGGTCCAAATGCACTCTCAGGGTGTGAATTCTAAAATCTTGTTAGTTTGGTGTGGGGGGATTGGAAAGAGATGGAATTGAAGGCCAACTATACACAAAGAGGGAACTGGAAAATTGAGCTACACTTCCAAAAATGAGACTCAGAAAGACTCATTAGCGGAACGTATCCACAGAGCAAAGCACAAGTTCATGTGGTTTGATGAAGGGATTGTCGAAATCTTAATTCGAGTGCACAAGCACAAAACATGCCTTTCTCCACCTCGTACTTCGTGTAGAATGCAAGACAGCTATCTGCGCCAAGAATTCACACGCCAGTTACAGATAAAGATCCTGGTTCACGGACACCAAGTACTGTGTATCAGAAATTACACAAGACTGTCTGGCTGATGTAGTGTTGTGTATTTCTAATAACTTTATTACAGTGATTGACATGGAGGATAAGGTGGTTACAACTTCATGCCACGTTGTTGACAGTATTTGTGTTGTTGTTCATCCATTAAATTAGTCCGAGACACCGAACTTTAATTGTCACTTTCTGAAGATTTCACAAGTACAAGGTTCACGCTGACCAAGGGTCTTGATATCTTGTAGATTGGTGACAGGTTCATGTCGACAAGATCTTGGGCAAGTTCGAATCTTGGTTACAATTACACAAAAAATAACAGAGTTTCAACCCTTGATACCCTGAATTATGTTGTGAACAAGACAGGCAACAGTTTATGTCATTTTTTTTTAATTTGATGTGAAGCTTTGTATCTACAAGATCTTGGATATGGTGCTAAAGATATTGACAATAGCCCATGATAGCCCTTGAAAATTAAATCGATAAGTAGGTATATCTTGTCATAAAGGTTGAGAAGCATTGAGAAGCATTGAGAAGCATTGAATTAGATATTTGGTTAAAAGACTAAAAACATTAAAGATGTTTTATGTAAATAAGAACATTAAAACATTTTTTAGTCGCAAAATTGAACATTAAAGATGTTTTTGTGTTCTTGATTAGAACATGAAATATGTTTTATGTCGTAAATTAGAACGTTAAAGATGTTTTATGTCATTAATTAGAACGTTAAAGATGTTTTATGTCGTAAATTAGAACATTAAAGATGTTTTATGCCGTAAATTAGAACGTTAAAGATGTTTTATGTCGTAAATTAGAACGTTAAAGATGTTTTATGTCGTAAATTAGAATGTTAAAGATGTTTTATGTCGTAAATTAGAATGTTAAAGATGTTTTATGTCGTAAATTAGAACGTTAAAGATGTTTTATGTCGTAAATTAGAATGTTAAAGATGTTTTATGTCGTAAATTAGAACGTTAAAGATATTTTCATGTCGTTAATTAGAACATTAAAGGTAGAGACTTTAATACTAACTACTACACTACTTAACAGAAAGTTGGAATTGTCGAATTATCAAAAATAAAAACGTAAAACCTTTCCGAAATTCACTGTAAAAAATATTTTGTGATAAAGTTAAGTTCCTTTAATAACGACTTTATGTGAACCATTATCAAAATAGTGTATACAAACATGGTTTGAGGTAGCAATTTGCAAATTACGTTCCAAATGAATGTCAGATAATTAAAGGTAACTGGATACACATGAAACGAAAATGTGAAATCTCCAATTTAATCAGTTTACACAATTTCATATTTTGTGTGGGTCGTTTGGTATACACGGAAGACCATAATACTATAAGTTTTTTAATTGTACATAATGGAGACAAAAATAGAAGTTTAAAGCATGTGTCGTTTAACTTTATTGCAAGACATAAATTATTGAGAGTAGAAAATGAAACATATCAATCATGAGTGTACATGAAAGTGTGCATTCATTTTTTTATGACATCCAAGACTGTTGATACTCTAATAAATAGTTATAAAATAGGATTTTATTTCATTAACACTGACGATAAAAACACAGCTGGGAATAAATTTTTGTTGTCAGACAAGGTAGCACATGAAATATATATAGGTTGCCAGACAAGTTAGCACATGAGAATATATATAGGTTGTCAGACAGGGTAGCACTTGTGAATATATTTAGGTTGTCAGAAAAGGTAGCACATGGGAATATATAAAGATTGTCAGACAAATTAGCACATGGGAATGAATAAAGGTTGCCAGACATGGTAGCGCATGGCAATAAATAAAGGCTGTCAGACAAGTTAGCACTTGGGAATAAATAAAGGTTGCCAGACAAGTTAGCACTTGGGAATAAATAAAGGTTGCCAGACAAGTTAGCACTTGGGAATAAATAAAGGTTGCCAGACAAGTTAGCACTTGGGAATAAATAAAGGTTGCCAGACAAGGTAGCACTTGAGAAAAAATAAAGATTGCCAGACAAGGTAGCACTTGGAATATATATAGGTTGCCAGACAAGCTAGCACATGAGAATTTATTCAGACAAGTTAGCACTTGGGAATAAATAAAGGTTGCCAGACAAGTTAGCACTTGGGAATAAATAAAGGTTGCCAGACAAGGTAGCACATGGGAATAAATAAAGGTTGTCAGACATGGTAGTACATATGAATAAATAAAGGTTGCCAGACAAGGTAGCACATGGGAATAAATAAAGATTGTCAGACAAGGTAGCACATGAAAATAAATTTATGTTGTCAGACAAGGTATCACTTGAGAATAAATAAAGGTTGTCAGACAAGGGAGCGCATGGGAATATATAAAGGTTGCCAGATAAGATAGCACATGATAATATATAATGGTTGCAGACAAGGTAGCACATGAGAATTTATATAGGTTGTCAGACAGGGTAGCAAATTGGAATAAATAAAGGTTGCCAGACAAGGTAGCACACGGGAATAAAAAATGGTTGCCAGAGAAGGTAGCACATGGGAATATATAAAGGTTGTCAGACAAGGTAGCACACGGGAATAAAAAAAATGGTTGCCAGACAAGGTAGCACATGGGAGTATATAAAGGTTGCCAGACAAGGTAGCACACGGAAATAAATAATGGTTGCCAGACATGGTAGCACATGGGAATAAATAAAGGTTGTCAGACAGGGTAGCACATGGGAATAAATAAAGGTTGCCAGACAAGGTAGCACACGGGAATAAAAAATGGTTGCCAGAGAAGGTAGCACATGGGAATATATAAAGGTTGTCAGACAAGGTAGCACACGGGAATAA